CTTGCACCCACTGTAGACACTTGTCCCCACCAAACACTTATGCATTTTCAACCTAGTGAGCACTTCTAGCCCCACAGATCCTTGCTCTTGTAACATAAGCTCACTGCTCTCCTCCTTCAGTTCTTTCTTCTCTGAATCCATTGCTCCAGTCCCTGCCTCCCTGATGGTTTTGTTTTGTTCTACTCTTTGACTGATCCCACGTCCCCCTCAAACCCCTAAATGCTGCAACACTCTAGGCCTACTACTTGGCTATCCCTTCATCTCTATATACCACCTCCTAGATGTTTTCATCCACATCCATGATGACAGCTCCCCAATGTATACCTCTGTACCTGCTGTCTCCTAGAATCCGGATTACCTGATATTCTGCTTGAAGAAACATGTCAAGCTCAATCTGCCCCCAAACAGACTCTGTTTTTCCTACCCCAAGTCTAAGCCCCAGGCCTACCTCCCCCAAAACGTCATTGTCCCATCTGCTTGGGCCCCAAATTCCAAAGCCAGCGGTTCTTCTCATGCCCTCTGACCCTTTTAACTTCATTGGTTATTCTATTAGTTCTGTCTTCAAAAGATGGTCAAATGTAACATATCCACCCCCTCTTCTGTTACCACTCTGCCTGACCATCGTCCTGGGAACACCGGGTTTCAGCAAGCACCGCCCACCTCAGCTCCCTCCTTCCCACTCCCAGGCCGGCTAGTCCCTCATCACAAATACCTAACTTTTGTTCCTATAGTGCACCATCTCATTGAGAATTAAATACCAAGCCATTCACACGGCCAAGAAGTCCACCATGATGCATCTCTTACTCCTTACATCCTTACATCCTTATTGAAGATCATTTCTTACCACTCATCTTGCTCTTTCAGATCTCCACTGGACCTCCTGATTGTCTCCATCCTTCTCAAGCTCTATATGTTCCATTCCAACCACCTGACCATTCCTTTCAGCTGGAAATGCTACCTCCACATACCCACTCTTCAATCTCTACTCCAATGTCAGCTCATAACAAAGGCCTTCCCTCACCGTCCTGTATAAATAAATGCAGATGTGCATGGAGTGCTGGCTCTGGTTCTGATTTCTTTTTCCTCATACAATGTATGGCCACATTAATTTATCACACTTGCAACTCAAAAGTGCTCCACTCTCCAGCAGCAGCAGCAGCAGCCCTAGGTCTTATTCCATACCTATTGCATAAAGAGCCTGAAATTTAACAGATTTGTATCCACAGCAAAGTTTGGAAAGCACTGAGTGCTGGTTTCTAATTGTCACAAGAATAACAGCTAGATTTTGTTCATGAGTGCAACCTCAGAGGATTGAGGCACTCAAAATACATTGAATGAATGAATGAATGAATGAGCTGTGAAATCTGTGGAATGTGGTTCCCAATTGATGATACAAGCAGGTTGAAGAGAGGCATGAGAGCCAGCACAGGTCAAAATTTGTCTTCCTCACATACTAAATGCTAAATTAGAGATTCTCTGGAATCAGCAAATCCTTCCTTCAAAATGTAAATATATTCCCCAAATAAAGCACTCTTTCACAACTTACTGTGAATTATATAAGTGAAATTACATACTAACATCTAACAGAGTCAGCCAAACTGAGGGAAAGGACTGTAAGATGATGTGTGAACAAGTTCTTATTCTGTTCTAGGCCCTGTAATAGGCAATAGGAAAACTAAGATGAGTCAAGAACAGAGAGCTCATGCCTGTAATCCAACTACTTGGGAATAGAAAGCAAGAGGATCAAGAGCCCAAGCAAGACGCAGAGAAAAGTTAGCAAAATCCAATCTCTGTAACTTTTAACAAATAATAGACATGGCGGCATGCACCTGTGATCCTAGCTACATAGTAGGAGTTTGTAGGTCAGAATCAGGTCCCAGACAAAAGCATGACAATACTCTTACTAAAAACTACACTCAAAAGAGCATGCAGTGTGGCTCAGATGATAGAGCACCTGTCTAGCGAGCACAAGGCCCTGAGTTCAAACCCCAGTACCAAACATGAGTCAGGAACTAATAAGCTGATTGGAGACACAGACTGGTTTCAGAGGCCTTAGTTAGTACTGTTCTCCCACAATTTGTTATGGGATTACATAGCATCAGAGTTCAAACTGACTGATTGCTTTATTCTTCTTTTGCCTATCCCCTACCCCAGCGTAGCATCTAGACAGAGAAAACCCATTTCCACCATTTTATCAAAACAGCCAGCACTCATTGAGTATTTACTGTAAACCAAGTCCTGTCGTTTACTTTAGGTGCATTAACTTACAACATGTCATTGTCACAACCACCCAGTTAAAAGCATTTATTACTCCTACTTCACACACACAAGAGAGGACTTAAGGTCTGGAGGATAACGGGCACACTGAGTAGCTGCCCAGAAAGGAATGGCATTGTACCTGCACACACTACATATTTATACACATGCACTGAATATAAGATCAGCAGTTAAGATGATTGGGAAATCTAATTTGAACTTTACCATTTTGCCTGGAGCCAGGAAGGCAGAAGAGAATTGAGGAGTCAGCACTTGCTGCACTAAATCCTTCTTTCCTGCACCCATCTCCCACAACCAAAATAGACGTGATTGCCTGAGAGTGCAGCTTCCCTGGATATAGAGGTTAGGAGCAGGAGATGACAGCAGCCTTGCCTTTTTGCTGGCTAGAGTAGTATTTCTGGATCTCAAGCAAAAGGGGCTGGAGGTGAGTATATAGACATAGACTTGAAACACACTGCAGGAGCCCCCAGATTAAAAGGCATTGAACAACCATGTCAGTGCCTTCCAGCAACAAGTCTGCTTTTGCCAGTTTCGCAACTAAGGCAAATTCTAGCTTAGCTTTGTTTAGAAAACAAGGGAGAGCAATGGGTGCAAAAGTCATGGCCACAGCAAGGCCACACTTTAAGCAGGATCAAAATCCTCACAGGTTTGGCTTCTTGGATAAGTCAGCATAGGACAACATTCTGCAGCAAGAGACAGCACCACACCACAGCAGATCAGCAAAAAGAGTTCCTGGTCAGGAGATGGGTTGAAAGCAAACGTCATCTGTTATCCTCCTACTGTCTTGGCATCGCTTCCTCCCACCATGCAATGATGTCCTGCATAAAGATGTCCTGCTCAGGACTGGCCCACACTGGGGATAAGCTGCCTAAGAAAAAAGTCAGAGAACAGATAGCAGGAAAGAAGGAAGACAGGGAGTCCAGTGCTTTAACTCTTTCATTGGGAAAACAATCACGAAATTAGACAGTGTAAACCCACAGGACCTGTTAAAGCTCAGTGCTTCAGGCCATGGATCCACAAGTGAGGGACAAGGCAGGGAAACGGATCAGCAAGGATGCCAGGAGAAGGAACACCCAGAAACACTTACGAACCAATAAGTCACTTCACTGAGAAGGAAAATCATTGCTTTGGGGAGTAATATCCACTTTAATGTTTGATGCTATGGTCTTCATCAAAGTGTCCTCATGACCACCACACACTACAAGGGAAAAGAAAAGGGAGACTAGAGAAAGATGTAGATAAAAGATGGAGATTTTGAAAAGATAGAGATGTAGATAAAATGAAAACGTAGATTTTTTTTTAAAGACCCTAAATCAGGCTCTGGTTGTCTAAAAGACAAGTAGGGGAAATCACAGAGATTCAGAAGGGTCTGGGTACAGAATTTGGAAGGGAGATCAGAAATTCAAAATCCATTACAGAAAATCATTCACCATCAGGCTGAGTAGGAACAATACATGAAAGCCAAATTTCACATATTACAGATGGCTGAACAGTGTTGGGTAGCTTTATTCAAATGAACAATATCCAAAAGTGAAAAGCTCACGAATAATTTACGAAACTTTCCAGGACCTGATAGACTTTTAAACAAAAACTCCGCATTACTGAGCCAACAGACACGGGCTACTGGAGACTGGCCTTTCAGCCACAGTGCTAAATACACAGCAGTAAAACTGCTAGAAATATAATAAGCGGGGCTGAAAATTTTTCTCAGCTTTACTACTGAAGTTTGTAACCACTATCATTGCATCGAAGATCCCTTGATTTGTACACGTGAACACCTTTACCTGAGCCAAAGGAAAGTGGCTTTGAATTAAGCTGTGGATGGCAGAGATATTTTTAACCTGAACTCCTTTTATCTAAAACAGTGTGGTGCTCCTTTTATAATTAGGAATTTTAATCTAATGGGAAGGGGAGGGGCTCAAGAAAAGAAGAGGTCCTCATTAATCCTTGCCAGAAACTACAAAACTACAGGAACAAATAACCAAAGTGGAAGCTGTATTCCTTGATACACTGAAGAGCCCGGAATTCCAGAGCAAACACAAAAGCCAGACTTAATCGTTCTTAGTCCAAAGACCATTGCTGACTGCACTGGAGTTAAGTTCTGAGCACTTCAGCAGAAATAATTCCAACAAAACAATTACCACGGATTTCACAGCAATCTCAGCCTTCTATTGGAAGGAGGGTGGGGAAGAGGGTTGGGGGATCTGTTCTCAACCCAGAGGGGAAAACGCTATTTTGGAAGCCGACACGGGAATTGCTTCAAACTCTAGCCATTCCACGCTAGATTCGGCTCCAAAACTCTATAGCCATTCCATGTGAAGACAAGTGGACCCCCTCAACGCGGGGGAGCCCAAAACATAGTGGAGCAGCGCATGCCACCCGCGTCCTGCTAAAATGCATCTATTATTACCAGGTGTCCCAAACACACCGTGGCCGGCAGGACCTCCAGGAAAGATCTGCAACTTGTCCAGAAAGAAGAGAGAAATGCATCTCTTTTCTTTCTTTCTTTTCTTTTTCCTTCCCCGCCCAGCGGTGCCTTCCCGGGAGACAGATCCTGACAGTTCGCTCGCAGGTGCAGCAGCCAAGGGCAGAGAGAAAAGCCCGGCGCCGGCTCTGCCAAGATCCCTGCATCCACAGCCAACGCGGTCCGGTGCCCGCCTGGACCGGCCACCCTGCTCCTCCAGAACCCACCACCGAGCGCAAAGCCGCCGCCAAGTGCTTACCCGGATCGGCCCGGCCGAGCCCAGGCAGGGCGGCCAGAAGCAGGAGTCCCAGCAGCAGCAGCGGCTGCAGCGGTGGCACCGGCGCCGGCGGCGCATGGTGGGACGCGCGGCTCCTCACGCCCGGGCAGCGTGCAGCAATCCCGCCGGCCCCGCCGAGCCCACGCGCCCGAGGCCAGCTCCTCGGCCCCCGTTCCACCGGCCCAGCTTTGCTCGGGCCCAGGGGCTTCGCCTCCTGCAGAGCCATGGGAACCCTTCACACATCCAGGCCGCTGCCCCAGCCCTGGGCGTCCCGGTCCTCACCGGGCATCTCCAGCCATAGAGCCCGGGCGCCGGAGGGAGGGAGGCGTTGGGCGGCGCGACTCGCCCGATCCTCCTGCCACTAGCCCGTGGCGGGCTCCGGGAAGCCGCGGCTTCACCC